TCCAGCAAACCACTTAAACATGTACTTAACTTTAGCATATGCTTAAGTGTTTTGCTAGATTAGGGCCTAAATGAGTTACCATCTAAATAATAGGTATTGAATATTTAATTTGTTTATATTAAAAATTAATGAGTTCCACTAAGAGTTTCTTTGTAAAATAATGTTGTTCTAAGAAGTCTAAAAAAAACTTTATGTGTAATAGCTATATAAAAATCACAACTAACTTATGCCAAAATTGTAGATCCAGTCCTAAAGATTATTACAAATGTAAGGAAAATTACCTTTCAAATGACATGTCGCACAAACTTCAACCCCTTATAATCTAGAAGGAATTAAAGTCAGACCACTCATTCAAAATTTCCAAATTATTTTTGTGCAGAGTCAAGCTACACATCTCTGATTATGGGATATTCTTGCAAATTAAAGGTAAATGCTTTAGCTAATTCGTATTTTTTTTTAATTGCATATAATTTTTAGTACATAATTGCTTTTTCACAGCATCCAATTACTTAAATTAATACTGGTAATAGTTTTTAATGAAATCTTTTGGGAGCACTTGAACTTGCAGATATATAAAGGTACTTTTTTAATGCAAATATTCTAATTTGTTTCCCTTATTTAACATTTGAATGCCTTTAGGCACTACAGAGGGGACTTTCATGCTAGGGGAAAACTTTCTGGGAAAATACTGGGGAAAAAACTTTCTAATGTATCATACTGAAAAATTAAAATTTATTGACCTATCAAATTTCTTCAGAGTTTTCTTTAACTCTTTTGCTAATTCTCACAGATATGAGAGATTAAACAAGGGCTCATTCTCTCATTCAAAGCCCAGCTACACCTCTATCTTCATGCTTCTGAATTTTTGACATAGCAGTCCTTTTCATAACACCACACTAAAGCAGAAGATGACATTGGGGTGTGAGAGAAAAATGTTACTGAGACATCTTCAACTTTAGCAAATGCAATATAGTTAAGGGTATACTATACTGTCTTTTGTATCCGTTTCTCTTATTTTGTATTTGTCCAAAGTGAAATACCCTGAAAAATATATTGTATGCATTATGCTGATTTGCAGGAGAATTACAGATCATACAACTTTTTTGGAACACCAATGAACAAATGGTTTTCTGCTCATCCAAGAATTTCTAGGTTTAATAAATTTACTTGTGTTAAACAATAGTACTTTGGGTTAATACTTTTTTCCATCAATATAAAATATTAAATTCTGTCTGGTTTAGACTGCAAGCTCCTTGGGGGGCAGAAGTTATGATTTTCTACATTTTGTATAGTGCTGAGCAAACGTATGGTACATAAGAACGGCTGTCCTGGGTCAAACCAAAGGTCCATCCAGCCCAGTATCCTGTCTACCGAAAGTGGCAAATACCAGGTGCACCAGAGGGAGTGAACCTAGCAGGTAATGATCAAATGATCTCTCTCCTGCTGTTCATCACCACCCTCTGACAAACAGAGACTAGGGACACCATTTCTTACCCATCCTGGCTAATACCCATTAATGGACTTAACCTCCATGAATTTATCCAGTTCTCTTTTAAACCCTGTTATAGTCCTAGCCTTTACAACCTCCTCATGCAAGGAGTTCCACAAGTTGACTATGCACTGTGTGAAGAACTTCCTTTTATTTGTTTTAAACCTGCTGCCCATTAATTTCATTTGGTGGCCCCTAGTTCTTATATTATGGGAACAAGATGGGTACTAACTAAATAGCTGTATCAATCCGAAGAGAAGTTATAAAAACCAGTGTGGCAGCAGAAGTTATAAAATCAATGCATAAGCATGTTAAAATATAGGCATTACCAACTCAAGGAGGGAGATTTGACAGGGCTGGGACTGAACGAAAAAACAATCTCACTTGGCTTTTAATAGCTCCTGCCAGCTTTGTATTTCTGAAGAAAGTAAGAGAAGTGATCCCAAGAAGGAAGTGACATGAGATCAGCTGGGGAAAAATGTTACGTAGACTAGTGTGGTGCCCACGAAGAGCTGTGACGAGGCCAGAGAGTAAGTCGCTGCAGTAGCTGTGGCAAGAGATGACCAAGGCTTCTATGGTAGGAGTTACGAGGAAGACACCGATTCTGGAGATAGCATAAAGGAAAAGAGCAACACGATTTGATGAGAGCTTGTATATGGGACAGAACAAGAGCAGTCAAGAGCAACTGACTCTGCTGAAAGTAGTTCCAGGAAGAGAGCACAGAAAAAGTTCTTGGACAAGGGCAGGGGAAGGTCATTAACTATTAGTAAGAGATATTTCACTGGAGTGGATGGGGAGAAGCTAGGGATCCAATAGAGTTTTTGTCACAGGGTGACATGGGTCATTTAAGAGGAAAGAGGCCAGTGACTAGTCAGCTGACTCCTGACTGGGGCTTAAAGTTGGAACTTGGGCCGCCTCTCTAGAGGGGAGAGAGAACTGGTGACTCAGAGTTGCCTTAGAGCACAGATGGAGTCAGTCAGAAAAGGGCCAGATGAGAGCTGCCTGAGATACAGAGGAAAGATGAGCAGAAAAGAAGAGCTGACAGGCGTTGCTGGGAGAGAGCTGAGTTTGGAAAGAGAGCATCAACTGTAAGCTGCTAGTGAAGAGCTTGGAGGAAAGCTATTGATGAGAACTGAGTTTGGAAAAGCCGAAGATCCAGTTTGACAGGGGAAGCCAAGCCCATAAGCAAAAAGGTTGCTGCAGGAGGGTGCATCACCCAAACAGAGACAGGACTAACAGGGAGTGAGGCCTTGAGGAGTGGAACACAGCAGTCATGGGAGTCCTTGGGGCAAAGACCTGAGTGAAGGATTGTAGAAAGTGAAGTCACCCTCAGATAGAGAGGCCTGGAGAGTGGTCCCTAGATCAGGGGCCAAAGGAACTTAGAACGAAGCGCTGCTAATGACTCTTGAGCCGATGACTTGCTGATATATCTCTGGAGAGGGGAAATGGGAAAAACCTGCTATATGCATTTGTTTATTGTGGAAAATGGTTTTGCTATCAGGTTTTGGGGGAAGTACTGCACTGATGTATATGAAATTGTTGTGCCCAGAGATAAGTTTTATATCAGACACTAGGAAACTATTTTCCTTTCATGGACAGAAGGAGAGAAATGCACCTGTCGTGCCACAGCCTGCCACAGGGCCACCCTATAATAGTGTTATTTTATTTCAATTAGATATTCCTAAAACCATTATGAAGCACCCAACCCTGCCCAAGGTGCTTTAACAAAATTCACACTGTCAGAACAACATTCAATACTAAGAGAAGAAGAAAACAAAGCAACAGATATACATTTCACACTTAGAAAACTTAGAAGTAATGGAAAGAAGGAACATGATTGTTGGATAGGCAAATGGGGGTGGGGAGGTGTCAAAGGAAATTTCATTTTGGAAAAGATATACAATAGGCATCTGTAGGATGAGAGAAAAAGCCATCCGAGAGAGAGTAAGACAGACAGAAGGATGAGAGTATGGGGGAGGAGAAAAGTCAGAAGATGGAAGGGGAGGTGGAGCAGAATGAGGGATTGCTTAGAGGTAGGCAGCAGGAAAGATACCAGAGTCACACTGGAGTGAAATAGCAGAGGCAATGGGTAGAATGAAGGTTAGGCAGAGGGACGAGAGCTCTTGCTACATAGTGCCAATTTTGTCCCTGAAGAAATTAGTATGCTCTTGGCCAGAAAGGGAGGAGAGGAGGACAGGGAGCAATTCCGGAAAAGGATAACGTGGCCATCATAGAGAGGAGCTTTGTAAAGACCAGGGTTGAGACAGTGACTAACATGGTACATAGGGTCTGGAGCTGCTGGTCAAATCAGGACACAAGGGAGATGAAGCAAGAGGCAGTGGAGTCAGGTGGATCATCAAAGGGAAGCTGAAATTGTGACAGATATGGCAATCTCCCGCAATATCTTTAGGATATATTACTGTATTATTGTGGGCTAGGGATTGTATGTAATTCCATGGTGGAAGATGACCACAATTCCTCCAGTAAGCACAATGGGGAGTGATTAGGCATATTCACTCAGGTTGCAATACCTCCGGAGAAGAACCACCACCAGTAGAGGCTAACATATACTAGTTCAAACAGGATTCTCCGGAGATCATCAGACAAAGAAAGGACTGTGTTTAAATTGATTCATGCCCTTCTTTCTGATCCAGCAAATGGACAGGACCATCTGTCCAATGGGGGCCCAATCCTTCTTGGGATTTTGGAAGAACTTTGGCTTACAGAAGCCCCATAAAGACCAATGGGTGACCTCTAATAAGTTGTTAGCACACAGAAACTTTTATTGTTTTTAATATGTTTTCTCTGTAATGTTTTCATCTTAAGAATAAATGTGTTTGCTTATAAAGGGCTGCTTGGTAAGTTACAACTGCCAGCAATGACGTTCATAGCCTCTGAAGAGAAAACAAAGTGCAGATGCTGGCCTGTTTAGGCAGTCTGGCTTTCTGGAAATAAAGTTAGTTCAGGGAACTGCGTAGCCTAGAAAATGCAGGTTAGATGCAGGTCTCTTTCCAAGAGAGGAGTTGGGAGCCTAGAGTGGATGCCCTTGGAGAACCATGAAGCGGGAATACAGGTGTAGTTGCAGAATTTTGACAGAAGTCATCTAGGATAAGGAGGCTGGGGAGATCACAGCCCCAGTGTCATGCCAGAGGGCCCCTAACCCCAAAGCTTTTCCTTATTTAAACTTTCAACAGTAACCCAAGATTCCAGTAGAGAAGGTAATACATTCCTTATTAACACATTGCTCTTGCATGCATTGGTGTACAACCAAATATACAGTTATCTTTAATCTGACTGTAAAACAAAGGCACAGCAATAGCGTTAAAAAGGCCCGACTCTACTAGAAGTGTGTAATGATTTATGGGACACAGCTGAAGGGGAAGTTCAACTGATTCAGCAGACTTTTTTCCCTTCTACAAAGCATAAAATAAAAACCTGATGTTTCTATAAAACTCTCTCTTAGAGCATTCATTTCCCCAGATTGTTGTATTATACCAAAGACCTCCTTTACCTTGGATAGTCCGGGGCTTGCTGGCATTATCAAAGTCACAGATCTTCTCCCATTTATCTTGCACAGCCTCTGGTGTCATAGGATGATTCTTCTCCCTGACAATGGAACCCAGGGATCGCTCCCAGCGCACTAATTAAACAGCGAAAATGGAAGACATTGATCACAGAGTTCAAGGGGATGGTCAACAAGACAAACTGCAGAACCCTTCAATTTCTTAGTGTGCTTTCTGAGAGATAATTAAAACTCATTCCAACCCTCCCAAAGGAGAAAGAAAACTAGGTCAGAACCTCTCTGATCTAACTCAAAAGTCCCAGGTAGTTGAATTTAAAACAGTCTTTGCCATTAGTTAACACTTAAAGAATCATACCATGACATTTTAAATTCCAATAAAACATGACAGAAATGTTTGTAAATGTGATTTCAGTTTTTGAACGTTCCTTTTCACTAGGCAAGGAACACTTGTACCATAAACCAATTTAAGGAGTCTATTCAAGTTCTGCTTTCATAGGATTTTGACCACTGCTACTCTCTCAGGTTGTGGAAGGGCTTGGGAAGCTGTAGGTGAATCACAAGGGGACAACACTGTTGATGGAGAATGTCAGTGACAGAGAGGGCCAGAGATCAGTGTCTCAAAGCAAGTGATCTTTAGCACCCTGACTCAAGGAGATACTTTCTGGCACAGACAATCTTACCAATAGTCATCATGTTTCCAATCTTTCTTTTTAGAGAAAATTTTCAAAATGGTTAAAATGAAGCCAGCTACAAATTTCCTTTACTACTATGAATCCATCTCTCAGCTTGGAAATGGCAAGGAAGTTGATCTCATTAATTGACTATCTTTTTTTGGTGATGGACAATGATCAGGTTTCCATGTTAATATTCTGAGATCTATCAGCACCCATTGCTACCATTTACCATGATTTGTTACTGAAAAGTTTACAGATGGAGCGACTATGCAAGACTCCACTCTTTTCTCTTTGACAGGAACCAAAGAGTACTTCTGGGTGAATGGTCAACTGCCTCTTGTGGAGGGCACTTCAAGGTTCTACGCTGTCCTTTATCCTGTTCAATGAGTATAATAGGCTGCTAATGAAGAGGAAATGGCTTAGGGTCCATTTCATTAGAATACTGGTCAGAGCTGTTCAAAAAATTTCAAAATATTTCAGCTAAAAACAGGGACAAATTTTTCAGGAAAGTTTTCAAAAGAGAATCTCATTTTTCAACCAGCTTTAATGTGAGAATCTTTGTTTATTTAAAAAAAAATAATCGTGCATTTTTATAAGTTATAAGATGACTAGAGGAAAAGAAAGTTAAGACATCTTTATAAACTGAAGTAAATTGTCCTCTTGCTCATCAGCCACTGAATGTTGAATAGAGGCCCAGGTGTTGTCTTTACCTTTATTATACACACCTTTATGTGTATTCACTTAAAGGTGAATACACATAAAAACAGATTAATAGTATGTGCCTCCTACATATATGCCTCCTACTACCCCTTGTGTTCACACATACTCTTTAGCTCTTGTAGCTAACATAACTAAGCCTCTTCAGCCAGTGTAAGTCAATGCAGGTCCATTCAATTCAAGGGAGTGGTGCCTATTTATACCAAATGAGGATCTGGCACACATGGATTATGGCACTCATTTCCTGTACTAAAATCTGCCCCATCTATTCAAAATATGCAGCCCACTAGAGACCAACAAAATTCTCCCTCTAGAAAAAGCTCTCTTTATCAACAGTCATTGTAGAAGAGAGAATGTGTAATTATATTAGATTTTTTTTTTATTAAAAAGAAAATAATCTAACTCAACCTACTACAACGCAGTCTACTTACATTTACCAATCCATCCGGCTCCCACCTGCCAAGTGGGAAAAAAAAATCATTATCTGATTTTATCACAGGAATCAGTCAGACTTTTAGTGTTGGAAACAAGCAAAACCATTCTCTAGAGGCAGTGGTTCCCAAACTTTAACAATTTGTGAACCCCTTTCACTAAAATGTCAAGTCTCGTGAACCCCCTCCTAAAAATGAATATATCCAGGGATTTTCTCCTTTACCTGAGTATAAATTATAAAAGTAGTGATCTTGGAAATATAAAATTTGTTTTTATGACATGCTTATTACACATTAATTATTATTAATTATTCATCATTACAGTATTTTATTACATTATGAAAACGGCAACACTCTTCCAAGATCTCCCTTTCCTTTCGTAGCTTGTATCACTTTGAATAAGCCTGTTATAAGACAAGGATCCTATGTTTCATCAAGGAGTATCAGATTTGAAACAGCATGAAGGTATTTAAGAAGACAACTTGGAGAGTTCCTCCTACACAAGCATTCAGGTCCTGAGCAGTCCAGGCAAACAACGCATGTTACAACAAAGCTTAAACTTATTGTTTTTAAAATTATTATGAAGAAATCTAGCTGCCTATTTAATTTTAAAAACAGCAAAAAATATCCACTTCCCTTTCCATTTCTTATAAGAAGTCTTGAAGTTTAAATCTCAGTGTGATAGATATGCTTGCTTTGATCTGCTTAGCTCTTGGAAGTCCAGGGGCTCTGGGCTGCTGGCCCTATGGGGTCCCTATGGACAGCTCTGTCTGCCATTAGGGATTTTTTCCCCAAGAACCCCCTGTAACATTTCGTGAACCCCCAGGGGTTCACGAACCCCAGTTTGGGAACCACTGTCTAGAGGGCATTTGTATACGTGAGAACATAGCGACCTGGCAGAAAATTATAATAATTAGTGGTATTTTTCCAAAGAACTTTCTACTAAGCCTAGGTGCGCTAGCAGTAGGAATAAGATTTCAATAGTTGTTTGGGAAACAGACAGCCCTATATCGGTGAATCCCATCAATGGCCTGCGTACCTAGGACTATAACTCATTTTACTGCAGAATCACTGACTCTCTGGAACTGCTGCTCACAAGAATGCTTCTCTGTGGCATCATTTTGCCCCACTGGCAGAGTCAATGGGGAACTAAGCAACATGGCAAACACCTTCCACAGGAAAGTATTACAGCACAGAAGCAGACTGGATTCCTAGTCATTTTCTCTCATTAGAGACACTGAAAATTAAGTGAGAAAAGAGAGAAAAAGAAAGGAAAAGAAAAAGACTGGCTGGGTAAAGATATTTAAAAGATGGCACTTTGACGGGAACAGAAGAAGAGAAGAAAGAAGCAGAACATTTGCACATTTTTAACTACATAATTCCTCACACACATTTTGTTGGAGAGATTCAGATCTAAGTCACACTAGCTTGAGGCCTGCATGTGGCACAGAAACTGTCCTGACCAATGATCTAGCCAACTCTCCTTCATACCTCATACATCGCAAGAGAAGGCACAAGCCCATTTATAAGAAATATTTGCAAGATCTTAATTCTAAAAATGTGGTCAGCCTATGTGCTGTTAGATGGGGATTCTAAAATGTGTCTAAGTGACTTAAGAGAATAAATCTTTGACTGTCAATAGAATTTGTGCTTTTAAGTCACTTACACATTTCTGAAAATGCCATCATTTAAAGAAAAAAAAACATAAGCTATTGATGCCGACAAGCAATCTTTACTTTAATAAAAAAAGAGGCTTGAAGAGCATGCCTCAAAGCACCCCAGAATCATAAATCTTTGATCCCATCTGGAAGTTGGTCTGTGTGCACCTGTTTCACATATGAATTGTGTAAATTCCCCCCTTTCTAAAAAAAAGCACTGATGCAACTACATCAGACATGACAATAAAACTAGTTCTTTTCTAGGCTTTTGATTTTTGGGAGAGATGCAAACCCACACTTACATGCACCTATCCTACACAAACAAAATATAATCACATCAACTTTAGGCTGGTGAAGTTGTAAGAGAATAATTACAGATAGAAGTCAGTCATAAACATACGAGACATACAGCTGTGCTGGAAAATAACTGTGCTCTTGTTTCTAAAGGGATTGTATCAACTTGAACTATAATCCTTTTTACAAATGGAGTTAGAACTAGCTTCAGGTTCTAGAGCTGATGCTGAATTCCTAAAATAAAGCCAGTTAACTGTGTCAGCACATTGAGAGAACATAAAAGGGATCCTGTGTATAGTCTGTGAATAACTTTTACACCCAGCATTTCTTTTTGTGCAGAGAAATCAAATGTTCTCTACATTTCACCGCTCTGTTATCAGAATAAGAGAAAGTAAAGGGTAGGAATATGGCCTGGTGCACCATAAGGGAGAGGGGGAAGGAGGAGACGGCCAGTGCTATAAACAGACAGATCTATTCTGTAAGCTACCAGCACTGGAAATTTACAAACCTTTTGTTCACATGAGATGGAGCAATATAAAGATTCCCCTCACAATACAGCTACACTAACAAAAATTAATGCCACAAAAGAATATTTTACTACTAACATTAACATTTAACTACTTCACTATTGCCCAGAATATCTGGCACATGTAACAAAATAAAGTTTTGGTGCTACCCTTTTTACTGGGTACATAGTATGCCACTGTTTCATTGTTATCACAACAGAATGCCACCACTTCAAAGAACACTGCAGCTCCAGAAGAGTGACTATAACTGCATTGGGTTACAAAAGAACAAACCTCTTGCATGTTAAAATGCAAAAAAGTATCACCTCAAACAGACTGCCATTCTCCTGACACTTCTCATGGCAAAGCCAAAGAACTAAGGGAGCCACATACTCTGGTTTGAAAGCATCCACCATATCTGGAATAAATTGAAAAAACAAACAAACATCAGTATGAATACATCATCATTCAAATACTTTATTCACCAAACCCTTTCCCATCATCATTCATTTCTCACACTTTCTGGAAGGAATGATCAAATTCACTGTAATTTGAATGAGTTGTGCTGCAAATCCTTTCCATTTTTGTTTTCATAAATGTTACTTTGTTTCAGTAGCACTAAAACAGATCTCTAGCTGTTCTATAGATAAAAGTTAGCTGATAATTACAATACAAACTCCCAGGAGAAGGGCTTGGAAGGTTTAACAGTGCAGGTGTTTCCAAATACCCTCAGTGATATACAAAAAAGTATTTATTTTAAAATAATGCCCTTTTTAGAATTGTTTCACTAAGGCAAAGGAAGACAGATCTCCATCAATATCTGATGGACAGAAAAGAAGCACTCTGCTTTAGGGGAAATCAGCATTACCAAACTTCTCCCGCAACCTCATTCACTTTCACTAGCCTGGGGTAGGATATTGGGGTTCGGGAGGGGTGTGGGCTCTGGGCTGGGGACAAGAGGTTTGCAGTGTGGGAAGGAGCTCTGGGCTGAGCCTGGAACAGGAGGTGGTGAGGGGTACAAGCTCTAGGAGGGAGTCTGGGTGCAAGAGGGGGTACAGGGTGCTGGCTCTGGGAGGAGGGGTCAGGGCTTGGGGTGCAGGAGGAGGGTGCAGGAAGAGATTTGGGGTGCTGGCTCTGGGAGGGGGCTCAGGGCTGGGGTATGGCCTTCCACAGGGCAGGACTTACCTCCAGCAGCTCCCGGTCGGTGGTGCAGCGTGGCTACCACTAAGCCAGGCTCCCTGCCTACCCCGGCCCCACGCCACTCCTGGAAGGGGCCAATGCACCACTGTGGCCCAGCAGGGGGCACATGGCTCCGCGCACTGCCCCTCTCTGCAAGCACCGCCCATGCAGCTCCCATTGGCTATAGCTCCCCGTTCCCAGTCAATGGGAGCTGCGGGGGCGGTGCTTGCAGGCAGGAGCAGTGTGCGGAGGGAGATCCCTGCCCCTCCACCCCCAGGGCTACGCTGGCCACTTCTAGGAGCAGCATGGGGCCAGGGCAGGCAGGGAGTCTGCCTTAGCGGCAGCCCCACTACACCACTGGAGATTGCAATCAACTGGGAGATCCTCTAGGATCAACCAGTCTATCACGATTGACCAGTTGGTGATTTAAAGGATTACTAGAATAACACACAACTGAAAAATTGTGCAGTTGACTATCAATCATCTCCCTCTCCATTCAGTGTGACATATATGGATGAAAAAAATCAACAATAGGTTTCATACATTTTACAAAACACACATCCTTCTGCTTAGTATTCATAGGCCATGCTATTAAAAATACAATACTCTATTAACTTTCCACACACAACGAATGGGCAAATGAATTAAACAAAACTGGCCTTGCAATGCTTTGGAGACAGCAAATATTTCAGGCAGTCCACTATAAAACCAACAGCAGAATACATCTTCGATAAATCAAGAGGAGTCTAAGATACAAACTATAATTAAGGCTGTGAGTTTGTCACGGAGGTCATGGATTCTGTGATCTCCATTACCACTGTAGCTGGCCCGGGGGCCGCCTGAGCAGCACGGACAGCCCCTGGCCAGCCGCACCAGCCGCTACTGGGGCAGTCTTGGCCACCACACCCTCCTCCCCCAGAAGCAGTAGGAGTTTGGGTGTGGGACAGGGCTCAGGGTAAGGGGTTGGGGCACGGGAGGGGGTGAGGGCTCTGGTTGGCGCTTGGCTCTGGGGGCTCCCCGGAAGTAACGCTGCCTATGCCTACAGACACTGCCCCGCAGCTCCCATTGGCCACGGGCGGAGCCGGCGCTCAGGGTGGAGGCAGCACATGGAGCGAGGTAGGGAGCCTGCCAGCCCTGGCCCCCCCCCCTCCAGCACCAGCGGGGGTCCCAGGCTGCATGCTGCCGCCGGCCGCCCCCCCTCCAGCACCAGCGGGGGTCCCGAGCTGCATGCTGCCGCTGCCCACCCCTCTCTAGCAACAGCGAGAGTCCTGGGCCGCTCCCCACCCCCCCTCCCCCAGCACCCACGGCCCCCCCTCACCAAGATTTAGTCAGGGGTATATAGTACAAGTCATGGACATGTCACGGGATGTGAATTTTTGTTTACTGCCCGTGACCTGTCCATGGGTTTTACTAAAATTACCCGTGACTAAAATGAAGCCTTAACTGTAATCAGCAGTGGCTCACTTCTCATTTGTTAGTTACAACCTAACAATGCCCATGATGTGGTACTAGTGGGGGTCTGTTACAGATCACTGAATTAAACCAGAGAACATGATGAATTATTCTGTAAGCACCTATCTGTAATGTGTGGAAGAAAGGTTGTTATGGGAGATTTCAATCTGGAAGACATTACATTGTTACAGTTTCTAAAAATTATAGATGATAAATTTCTAACACAAAAGTATTGCACCCCACATGAGGTAATGATTTTGGACCTCATTGTGAGAAATAAAGATGAATTAATCACTGGACTGGAAGTTGGTGGTTGCCTAAAGACCAGTGATCCTGATCTGATTATGTTCATTATGGGCAAACAAAGGAGAGTCCTTATCAGTAATAAATAAATACATTATATATAAAATATAAGCCCCCACACTGCTTCAAAAAGAGAAAATTTCCCAAGGCTAAGGAAAATTATGACTAAAATTGATTGGAGAAAACTTAGACAGAAAAATGTGAATTACAATTGGGAGTTCTTTTAGAAGAGTTTGTTAGATGGCCTAAAATCCTTAATTCCACAATCTGAAAAATGGCAACTCTGGCTAAAAGTCCATACTCATTCAATGGAGAAATAAATGCAGCAACTAGAAATAAAAAAGCAATATATAACAATGAAAAAAGGAGAAATAGATAATATAAATTAGAAGCTATCGAGTGAACAAAATGGATAAGGGAAATGAACAACATCAAGGAAAACTTCATAGCTATCAGAGCAAAGGTTGGTAAAAAAGGAGTTTTTAAATACATCAGGAACAAATGAAATCCTAGCAATATCACAGGCCAATTACTAGATGAAGATGGTAAAACTGTTAATAATGATGCAAAAAAGGCAGAAAAGACGGTTACTCACCGTTGTAACTGTTGTTCTTCGAGATGTGTTGCTCATATCCATTCCATTAGGTGTGCGCGCGCCGCGTGCACGATCGTCGGAAGATTTTTACCCTAGCAACACCGGCGGGTCGGCTGTGGAGCCCCCTAGAGTGGCGCCTTCATGGCGCTGAATATATACCCCAGCCGACCCGGCGCCCCCCTCAGTTCCTTCTTGCCGGCTACTCCGACAGTGGGGGACGGGGGGCGGGTTTGGAATGGATA